CCGCCAAGTACACGCCAAAGTTGTCAGTGATATAACTGCAAATGTACCTAAGTTATATTACACGCCACACAAAGAAGTCATCCGCAAACAAGCGCTGACGACGAAAGTTAGAGTGATGTTCGACGCTTCGTCACATGCCAAAGGATGCAAGTCTCTTAATGACTGCCTTGAAAAATGTGACAACTTGTACCAAGACCTCGTGCAAATTCTGCTACGCTTCAGAACGCACCCGGTGGCAGTGATTGCGGACATAAAAAAGGCATTCCTTCAGACTGCGATTCGAGAGGACGACAAAGACGCTTTCCGCTTTCTCGGATTTGCAGAAGGAGATTTATCAAGGGGCAAGAGAGGAGGATGACACGAGTGCCTTTCGGAGCTACATGTAGCCCATTCTTCCTCACAGCTACTATTTTGTACCACGTGAAAAGAGCACCGGCTGCCATGGCGCAAACACCAAAATCTTTTGCCGAGTCGTTTTACGTGGATGACTTAGTCACTGGTGCCGATACAGAAGAGGAAACCACAAAAATTCGCCGAGAAGCGCTAACAATAATGAAATCGGCCGGCATGACATTGCGAAAGTGGACAACAAATTCAGAAAACTTTATGTGAACACTTCAACATCAGGAAGAGTCTACTAGTGATTAGATGGTCGATCATCACGAAACGTAGATCAAGGTGCGGAGTTTGGTGTGGGATACTGCAAAGGATGAATTCAGCTTTTCGGTTGAAAATCTACTCCGGATTTCGATAACACAGACGCACACAAAACGATTTGTCGTGCAGTCAGCATCAAGAAAACTTGACCCGTTGGGACTTGTAGGACTTATACTACTGCCATACGAATATTGTTTCAGAAGCTGTGGATACAGAGATCGGCTGCGATGAAGTACTGCCTAATGACCTGCAAAAAGAACGCAATGATTGCGTCATCTGGCTGCCATAACTGCAAGACGTGATTGTTTCTCGCTATCTGGATGGCGGAGCAAGGAAACCCAGTGTGCTTCACGTAGACGTTATCTGTAATGCCAGTCCAGCGACATACGGAGCAGCAATATACGCCGTGTTGAGTCTTGAGGCGCTAAAAAGTCACGCGTAGCATCCATTAGGGAGACAACGCTGCCGCGTTTGAAGTTTTGGCTGCTTTATTCGGCTCAAGAGTGTGGGCATACGTGAAGAGTGGTTTGAGGAATGTTCAAGTTGACTACACGATGTGGACAGATTCCGCCATTGTGTTGTCATGGATAAAAGATGACGTCAAAAAGTGGAAACAGTTCGTAACCAACAGAGTCAATGAAATCAGATGCTCAAAAAATCCATCAAAGTGGAGATACTACCCATGACCGGACAACCAGGCGGACCTACTCACACATGGTCTGACGCTTGAGAGACTGCTGTGCAGCTCTAAATGGTGACTTGGTCCTGAGTGGCTAGCTAGACAGATGTCTGAATGGCCCCTACAGTTCAGTCAACTAGACATAGTGGAAGCCACTCAACGTGACGTTGCAACAGTCTACGTCTCACCAGTGACACGCTTCTCAATTACTATAATCGACAATCAACGGTACAGCAGATTTCAGCACCTACTCAGAGTCAGTGCATGGGTTTTCAGATGTACTGACTGATGCAGAAAAAGAACGGATCACACTGGACATCCCGTGGCAACAGAAATCTTGAACGCTGAACAGGATTGAATAAGATGTACTCAAGAGGAAAGGCTTTCTTTCAGAGCTCACCGCCTTGACCAACGGCCAACAAATCGAGTGTACTTCTCAAATCGCTGAACTACGCCCTTACATAAACAAAGACAAAATTCTTCGAGTTGGAGACCATTTATCACTCATGCATGCCACACAAGATGTCAACAACCTAATCATAATGCCATTAGGCTACCACTTTTTGGCACTTTTGGCAAACAGAGCTCATCTTCAAGTCCTACATGCAGAATCAGAGATACACTTACACAGCTTCGGGAGCGCTACTAGATTTGTCGAGCTCTCACTTTAGTAAAGAGAGTACTACATGGGTGATTTTATGCAAGCAGCTCAGTGTGGGCCCAGGAAGTGCTGAGACTGCTCCATTGGCAAGTCGTCGAGTGTCACCAACGGACCCGTTTGAAGTTGTTGGACTCGACTTCGCGGGCCCTCTTTATGCACGTATAGAGAAAAGGGACATGAAGTGCTACGTTGCACATTTTACGTGCGCTGTATCTAGAGCCGTGCATCTCGAGCCTGCCTCGGAAATTACATCCTACGACGATTTACAGTTCGGAGAGGATTACCTAGGGTGATCTATTCTGACAACACACAATCTTTTCACAAAACATCGGTAGACATGAGGCGACTACACCTAATGATCTCTAAAGAGGACATCACAGGTCACCCAAGCACGAACGGCATTTCGTGGAAGTTTATTGCACGAAATGCTCCTTGGTGGGGTTGACGGTGGGAGCACCTCGTTTGATCAGTGAAGCTTCCGCTGCGAAATATTATCGGCAAAGCTCGTCTGTACTACGAAGAAATATTGACAGTGCTGGCTGAGGTCGAAGCAGTCGTAAACTCTAGGCCGCTGGCTTTCATCGAGGCAGATGCAGGAGAACTTTGCACTTTAACACCAGCCGAACTTCTCCTTGAACGAAGGTTGACTTTCATATCTTATGCGACCGCTGACGAAGTCAACGGTAATTCCAAGCGAGCAGACGCCATACGCAGACACTAGCTACAGGAAGCTACTATTCGAAAGGTTTTTCAAGCCTTCGCAAAAAGATTACCTGTTGCAACAAAGAAGGCCAATGTGCTTCCAATACATGTTTTTGTGATGTCAGTCCAGCGGCATACGAACAGAGTTAAGTCTGATCGCAAGCGTCTGGAAACGCCATCATCCTAAATCATCCCTGTAACTCATACAACGGTCATTTTCGAAGGGATCTCTTGTGAGAATTTGATACAGATATCGACATCGACCTCCTAAAATGACTAAAATGTGAGGACGCTGATTCTGAAATGTCGGCTTTCTTGCATGGTTATACTAATCACATGGTGGCCGTTTATTGCGCTTAACGACAAAAAGAATGCTTGACGCCACTTCCCACACACGTCTGTGCGTTTTACTCGAATAATTTAAGTGTTATTATTCGCAGCAGGCTATAGAGGAATTCTGGTACCATTCAGCTAATTCATACAGCCATGTCTTGTGAAACACGAAGAAACTGCAAAAGCTGTAAGCACAGAGACTTGGAAAAGATTGGATGCTATGAAATGTGTGCATTTTTTTCATGTGTGGAGGGGATCATCTAGGTATATCGCACCTGCTCATCCTCGACCGGTCAAGTTCATCGTCAGAAAGGAAAACAGTTTTTGAAACAAGAGGGCACTTCTGAACTAGCCGCCCGTCTACGTTAGTGCGGAGATAACACGTGCCCCATTGCAGCCTGCAGGCTGTGTGTTTTTGACCTCTGGGCTAAACCAACCATTGTAGCAGTTCAGCAGCTTCATTACAGTATAACCTCTTAATACTTAAGTATGATCACTTGAGGCGAGATGAGCGCAGGGGAACTGGCCATCTTACATATAAGTTTAAACGCAGAATGTGTCAGAAGCAATAGCACAAAATGCCTCCGTTTAAAATCAAAGGGCGAGCGGCGAGCTCAAGGGAAACAACATTAAAAAGAAGTAACAGACAATGAAGCCAAAGAAAGTGTGGAGGATGTCATGAGAAGTTGGTCCAATGTAATTGTGAAGAAATAAAAGTGAACGAAAGGATACCTTCCACCGGCAAGCACCTAACCTGCAACCTTCGAATAACGCATGTGATCCTGCACGATTGACCTTAGGTGACGATCATTCCACAGTCCACTTATATAGGTTCATTTAGTATATAGGTTATATGGTTCGTTAAATTTGGAGCGTCAGTCAGCGCCACCTGTAGCAATTACGGCGAGTGTGGAGCACTGTCTCTTTGCCTGTTAGCGTAACGTAGCACTTGATCTTGTTACGAGCTGGCAGCTGACCAATAAGCCCTTGCATACCACCTGAAGGCACCAAATCTGTCAGAACAAGGACCCTCGCTATGAATTAAGAAAATAAGTGAGACTACAAGGGCTCATTTTCTTCGTTAGGCACATTACTATTGAGTACTAACCGACAAATATGCCAGGTATAGGAGGTATTATTATAAACTATTGTAATGTAAACGTGAAGAAATAAAAGTCTGGTAAGGAAATTGTTTGTTAGCCCATTAATATTGCGTCTGAAAAATGAGCCTTTGAATTTACACCTATTTTCCTTCAAACTAAACAATATTACATGAGTCTAAAAATTACTATAGCTATTCTGCTACAGTACTGCAATTCTGGACTACAATGCGTATGTGTGAGCCTGAGGAAGTTCCTCTCTTTAATATAAGTGTGTAGACAAAGAAAGCAGCTTTCGCAGCTACAAGAGTTGCAGCTGCGAGAGAAGATCAGTGAAGCTACCACTACCATTTTATACGGTGTGCAGTCAACGACGGTGAATAAAGACAGCTTCCAATATTTGTATTTATATACATCTTTCCTTATAACAATGTTTTTTTTTTGGCCGCACATGGTCCTGGCGGTGGACATCGACCGAAGCTGATAATTGCCGATCGGCAAACGTTAGATATCTTTCGCGTGTTCTCCTGAACCACGTAAGTGCAGCAGAACAACACAGTGATCATGTCAAATAACTGCTTACTAAAGATGGTGATTCAATTGATGTGATGAGTAAAGTTCCCCAGCAGGCTGCGAACCACTCATCCTCTTATATGTCTTAACCTAAATAGCGGTGTGCGCCTGCTGGCGCAGGCAACGAGAAAAGCAGCTGCATGGAAAAACATACTCATTTTAATGGCCCCTCGTATGTACATGCTCTTGAGCTTTCATCTTACATCGTCGTCTACGAGTGCTGATGTGATATTTGTGCCACCCAGGTACTAGGCACTCCAATATTGTGATAATCTATTTTTTTCTATTCATTCAGGCCTGATCGTGGTAGTGCTCCAGCGGCACTTCACTGTGTCACAGATCACTCTGCTCGGGAGCTTGATGCTGTGGATTCCACTGATAGGGGCTGCATTTGCTCCCAACATAGCGGTGATGACCCTAACCCTCGGCGCCCTTCATGGTAAGCATGTCAAAACGCTTGATCGGCAATACTGGCATACGCCTCCGTAAAAATTGACATTGTAGATTGCTTCCCTCAGTGGAGCTAGTGCTGTCAGTATCAATGCCTTTATTGCTCTTCAAACAACCGAGAACGGTTATTTCACTGTACTGAGAGAGAATTCCAGACGCAAAAGGAGGAGGAGGAGGAGGATTGAAAGAGGAAGGCCAGGGAGATTAGCCAGTTCTCAGACCGGCTGGCTACCCTGTACTGGGGATGGGGGTAAGGGGATAAAATATGAGAGAAAAGAGACGTTGAAAGGACAAAAAATGGAAAGAATGTCATCAGACGATCCACGACACTGCTTACAGTCTGTCTCTAAGACCACTTGCCCGCAAAAAGCGCAACAACGCTCTCAATGCCTTGCATGCAGAGGACGGCCTCGGCCAGTGTCCTAATACCCTTTCTTCCGACAATTGGCGATTGTCTAGTCTATCTAAAGCTTTCGACAGTTCTTTTCTTGGCTCACTGAAGCGAGGACACTCGCAGAGAAGATGAGAGAAAAGTCTCTGCGCAGCCACAGTTGTCACATGTCGGGCTGCTGGCCATTCCGATTCGAAACGAATTAGCATTCGTAAAGGCCACCCCAATCCACAGACCTCACAAGAGTGTCTCCGCAGCTCTGGTTATTCCTGATGGAAGACGGAGCTGTAGGTGTGGGTCGAATTTATGAAGGCGGACGTTGGTGAATGCCGGTGGATTCCAGTGAGCGAGTGTTAGTTCTCGTGCAAGTGATCGAAGCCTTGCAGCAGCGTCTGTTCTTGATAATGTTATAGCTGCACTAGGGGCATCATAATGAGCAGATCGGGCTGCTTCATCTGCATGGTCGTTTCCATCAATGCTGCAGTGGCCGGGTATCCATTGATACGCTATGTCATGTTGTTTCTCTATAGCCCAGGGATGAAGCAGTCGTATTTCAGCAATTAGCTGTTCGTTAGGTCCTATGACGATATGACGAGGCAATGCCCTGGAGGGCTGCTTTGGAGTCGGAGAAGATTGACCATGTCTGCCGCGGTTCTTCAACTAGGAACTCCAGTGCGGCACGAATGGCAACGAGTTCTGCCGCCGTGGATGATGTCAGATGCAAGGTCTTGAACTTTATCGTGATGGATTTCTCCGGAATTGCCACTGCGTCTGTTGAACTTGTTGAAGTGACCGACCCATCCGTGCCAGACGCAAAAATTTTGTGAAAGAGCTCATATCCTTGTTTGTGTGGCCACAGGGTACATAAACCGTCTGCCACACTTCCTCCTGTAGAAACAAGTTTTTGTGGTTGCAATAAAGAAGCAGACAGGAAAAAAACCAAACGCTTTCTTTATTCCTGCTTTCATCTGGTGTCGCAACTGGGGACACACGCAAGTGTAGTTGGTGTCACATAGCAAAGATATTGAACAAGCTTTCGCATGGTATCAGCACGTGATAAATAAGTTTTATGAAAATTGTCATCAGCCCTACGTCTGAGCTGAAGAGATGATGGCCGCTTTGGTTTCCAACATGTTAATACTAATTGCTGCACCATACACCACCAGGCTTCTAACTGATGCATATTCGCGCGCAGACCACAACAGTGCTAAAGATATTCGTAAAGCCTGTGCCAGTTTCATTGTGCTTGCAAATATCTCACAGCGATTCCACGTCTAGGTTGTTGTACGCTTTGTTGGCGCATGTAGTTGTTATCAAGCTTTATTTCGATCTGTAACACTTAGCGCGGACACAGTGGTCACACTGATTCTTATCTTTAGACTTCTATCTTGTTCGATGCAATATAATGCGTTGTTCTCCGAATGTAAAAAGTTTACTCATCTCCTTTGCCACGTCACATTTTACGGCCTGCGCTACCATAATCTGCGTTGCCGAAACTGATTTACCCAGCACGTTAAAAACTGCTTGTTTAGGTAAGGTATTTTGTATGATTGTACCACCCCCGCTTAATCGCCTACGGATTAATATACTTCGGTTCTATGCCTATGCTATTAACTATGACCAGTTATTATGTCTTTCGCGTGTGTGTGTGTGTGTGTGTGTGTGTGTGTGTGTGTGTGTGTGTGTGTGTGTGTGTGTGTGTGTGTGTGTGTGTGTGTGTGTGTGTGTGTGTGTGTGTGTGTGTGTGTGTGTGTGTGTGTGTGTGTGTGTGTGTGTGTGTGTGTTTCGATCAACTCATTTGGTAGCACTGCGCGGATTTTATCTAGCCCTACTGCGCTTTTGTAGGGTACCTTCAATTGTCGTTTTTATGTAAAATACCTCCAGTTAGTCTATGCCTCCTGCCTACTCATTACTTTGTGTTCTTGAATCCTGATGGGTCAGTACTACGTTTCATATTGTGATTAAAATATGAAATGTTGAGTTACACGCGTCCTAATGTTCAAAGGTGTTTCACTCATCGTTTGCTCTAAACGTATGCAAACATTTCTACCATCTATACATGCACATACAAAGCTATGACTGTATATTCCCAAATCACTAAGGGGTGACACACATCCCACGCATTGTCGTTGTGTGCGCTTCAACATCTCATCTCGTGTTCACAATTTTCGTTGTTCATTTCGCTATTTTCAACACGGTTACACGTGCAATACTTTCAATTTTTCAATGCGGGAATTGTATGCTTCTTTCCTAGCCCTGTCATCCAAATCATTGGTATGCGCGAGGTTGCCGAGAAGGCGTGGGGTGGGAGGTGATGTCGAAGTGGGCGAAGTGTCGTTTCGAACACTTCAAAGTTTTACTTCACCTCTGCCACTTCTTCCAAACCTCTCCCACTCAGGCCCTTAGTATCAGTACGTACTGCGAAGACGAGCTATTAAGCAGTGCGTGCTAAGCAATAAGGAATTACGCATAATAAGCCACGTTAACAGAAACATTACACCGAACATTCGATCGCATCAGCAATTATTGGTACAAAAGTTCAACATTGCCAGATTGTTTTCGCTTGTTTTTGAACACGAAGACCTCAAATTTTTGTACGTCCTCGCCTGTATAAGCCTGAAATCGAAGGCTGATAGCGCTAATTAAACAATTGAATAAATAAATAAATAAATAAATAAATACATATTGCTTCAAAAGCATCGCAGATGTTTTTCCTGGTAGATTCTACAGGCCAGTACCGACCTCTAAAGATCAGTTCGATAAGCATAGTTTTTGAAATACAATTATCTGTATTGATTCTTTTTATTTGCAAAAAATGTTTCAAGACATTTCAATAAGACAAATTTTTAATATTTTTTAGAACTTGCCGCTTCAAAGAATTTGTAATATTATATTTTTGAACATCCTGAAAAAAATAGCTGAACTTCGGAACTGCTCGAGAGAATTGCGGTGGAGTTCATGACATTTTAAAATTCTACAACGGACAAAGAGGTATCACTTCTGAAATTCTAGACAAGTATATTTACGCATATTTTTTGTCCTCGTCATTGATGTTTTATACTACGCCAAAGAATTCCCATTCAGGGACATAAAAATTGTCTATTTTGAGGATTTATCTCTGCAAACGTTGACGAGATTCCCAGCATATTTCCCCTACACAACACTACTAATTTTCGCCCCCATCCACGCACACACTTCTGTATTTACAGGTGTCTCACGAACTGGTGACTTTTGAAGTCATGACTAGCCCCTGCCCTGTCACACAACAAAAGCATGACTTTTTCCACACAACAAAAGCATCAAAAAAGAAACATATCTCAAAGGCTATGCTTGCGTGATGCATGTGCCAGAACCAATTAGAGCAGACGAAGACGCACTGTGACCGCTAATTATCGGTCATAATAGAAGAATTGGACCATTCCTGAAATTTTCTGCAATATCACAAAGATTCTTTTTTTCCCTTGAGGTCAAAATGACGGGTGAAAATTTCCCGAAAAAGGAAAAGTTCCCTGTACGACGCATCGCTGATCCTTGTTGCTTAATTCGGTCACACGAATAAACGGCTCTCGTCAACTTTTTCGCGCTTACCCTTGTTTATTACATCATATACATCACAATAGGCTCCTCAATAGGCTCATCACAATGTTCTAGCGCGCCAGCAAAAAAATAATAAATACATATCGGTATAAACTTGACATACAGCGAAACACTCGACACAGCAGAAAATTATTTTGAGCCCTCTGTATATAAAATTGCGCACATGTAAGTACATTATTGAGGAACAAAAACCATTACTTGCCAAATATTACTAAACAGTGTTTATATTTTATATTGCCTATTTAATCAAAAAGAACAGAATGTTTTCGTATATATTCTAGATTTTGCAAGGGGGCCGTAGAGTTTAACGTCGCTAACAGCGTACGTAAATTTTTTGCCGGCTGCAAGTAGCAGTGATTATTGTCTTGCAGTGTGTACTGCGTGCACACAGTGCTCATTCTGTCTCTGCTTTTTCTTCCTCTTGCTTTTTTTTACTCACACACGAATGCAGAAAGCTTGGTGCTAGTACATTTAGACTTCTCAACTCATCTACTAATTGATCCGAATGGTCTCTCTCTGTGATTCTTGTCTAAATATGGTTCGTCCACTTCTTTGTTGCCAGGAATGGGTGCGGGCATCGTGCTCGTCAGCTTCATGGTCACCTTGGGCCTGCACTTCGACAAGTACTTGGCCGTCGCCAGTGGACTCCGCGACGCTGGCACCACGCTGTGCGCCTTCGCGTTTCCGTCTCTGCTGTCCTTCCTCAACAGCCGCTACGGCCTCCGAGGCACCCTCCTCATCTACAGTGCTCTCGCCATGAACGTGACGGTCGTCGCTCTCTTCTTGTGGGTGCGTGTTCGAGAGAGCGAAGAAGAAGAACGCGCAGCTGGACGAAGGCCTACCTTAATAGCAACAAAACTCAGCTGGTGTGCCTTCACTGTTGAAGTTGCCAGAGGCCTACGCCAGCGACAACGAATGCCAGCAGTCGCTCGCCTCGCTTCTACGCATGCTCACCGTATTGAAGGCTCCCAGTTTCTACGTCGTCGTTCTTTGTGCTACGGTGGAGATTTACGGCTACACCGTGTTTCTGGAGACCATAGACGCTTACGCACTCGACAAGGGAGCATCCAGGCAGGCGGCCGACATGGCGATCACGTACGCGACCATCGCCGAAATCGTGGGCTACGTCGGAGTGCCCTTGATCGCCGACATGAACTTTGTGAGCCGCCCTACGCTGATGACCATCTGCTTCACCCTGCTCACGCTGTGGTATGCGCTTGTTCCGTACACGTCGTGGCCTATCACGTACGTCGTGGACGACGCCCTCCTCATTACTTTCATCGCTGCCGCCAGCTCGCTGCGGTGCTCGCTCATGACGCAGTACTTTGGTGCAGTCCGGGTGCCCCTGTGCATGACGGCTCTTGGGTTGCTTCTCATTCCTCTACAACTGAGCAGCCCCACGATCATTGGTAAGTGGTTGGTCGTAGAAATCAGGAAGCGGCTGTGGTTTATGAATGTCGGGGGTTGGGAAAAAAACGAGCTAACGCTACAAGCCACGGGAGCTGTCTCTATTCGTCCCACTGCATCTAGACTGGATGAGAGCAAAGCAAGCAGGTAGACCCGAAATGGTACGCTATCAAATAGGGGACACGTTGGCAGTGCGGCCAGTATACAATGTTCCCAGCCGCATCGGGAGTGCTTATGAGATCTGGGGATGACTTAAAAAATATAGTCGTGTTTTCATGCGTGATATGCTGTTGCTGCGATGCGATACAATGTGCTGCAAAACTTATGCTCTTAAAAATAATAAATCTAGCTCAACTAGTGCGATATCGGAAGCGTAAGCAGTGAGCACCTTAAATAATCAGCAAGTTCCACAAATAGAGCGCATATAAATCTATGTAATTTTTTTTACTTTTTCGCGCTCCATTACTGGTAGCCAGCATCGCCTATTCATCCATGGTGATGTCGCGGGATCGAATCCCGGCTGCGGCGGCTGCATTTCCGATGGAGGCGAAAATGTTGTAGGTCCGTGTGCTCAGACTTAGGTGCACGTTGAGGAACCCCAGAAGGTCTAAATTTCCGGAGCCCTACGCTACAGCGTCTCTCATAATCCTACGGTGGTTTTGGGACGTTAAACCCCACAAAACAATCAATTATATCCGCTCATATGAATGGGGCCAAATGAATGTATTCGGCTGATATGAATCCTCACATTGCACAAGACGGAAAGTGTAATGATCACAAGTCGCCCGAAGTTTTAAACGTGGAAGCGCAGTCAAATAAGTTTATCAGTGTTATCAGCTCACTTGACATCTTTTTGTATTATGTCCTCAATAATATTATATAGAAAAAGTCACCACGTTTATGGCAAAATAAATAGTAACGCCTTGTAGTTGTACGCAGAAACAGTTGTTTCCTGGACTTAAAGCAAGTTACACTAGAAAAATGAGACGTGCAGTATGCTTTTTCTAAACAAAAACGACACAAAACTCAAGAATTCATATGAACAGTGTAAAGTTGACGCAACCCGACACTATACGTAATTTCATCGTGCATTCTTCACTAAGCATGGTGGGAAGCATGCGCACATGCGGGTGGCGGAGGGGCCACCAGTGGGGCGTTGCCGTGCTTGAAAACATGTCAGTAACTAGCATTAAATAATGACAACGATTTACGCTATACTTGCTCCTCAACGCAAGGGTTTTGTTTGTTTGTTTGTTCCAGGCTACTTTCGTGACGACCTTGGGTCCTACGATGGCATGTACCGAGCTCTGGCCGTGCTGCACTTCGTCGTCGTCATGCTTTACATTCCTCTCGCCGTGCACGAACGCAGGAAGAAGACGGGCTCATTCAAAACGCACACTAATCCCTTCGTGCACACTACGAAACTCTGAACGCACAGCTATTCGTCGAAAATGGACTGTGTCTGCGCGGTAATTTCGTAACATCGAGTGTTTCGGTGGCCAAGAAACCACGTAGCGATCCTCCCAAAAAGGGGCGTTTTAAAAAGTGCGTCCCCCGACGAACGCAGGCAGACAACACGTGCCTGATATTCGTACATCATCACTGGCATGTGCGCGCGTGTCTAGCACGGAACTGAGTGTCATGACTACCTGATGCGCCTGACCTTCGGATTTCTGGGCACTTCAAGAGTACGATTTTGTTGTTTACTTTGCGCAAAAAGTTACGGAAACTAGGCCATTCCCCTCTGAAGCCAATCTGACGAAGATGACTATCTATCGCTAATTACTCAGAGACCGCGACTGCTCACCTAACCAATCTCCTCTTACATGGACTCTCACTGCGCAAACCATGCCTGTCAAGCCACTGGTAACCAAACGACAGATGTGTCACATCTCCATTACATAAGGCATTTCGATGTTTCCTCGTCATTTTTCTGCCGACCAGCATCCGTGTTCATTCATGAATGTACAGTATACATCTGCTTCTTTCGCAGGCTTCGTGAATATTTCTGTGCACTCCGTGTTCCGTCTGCTCGCCTGAAGCTGCTGAACGATCGCAGGCCCCGTGTAGTTGTCTTCGGAATATCGGCGATGTTATATGTTGTGTAATAGCGCGAGGGCCATTTATTAACCAGAGAGCGCCAGTACACGACGTGGAATGTGATCAATGTTTATTTCAAGTGCCTACTTAGAGAGGAACACATCGCTCATTATTTTCATACAATAAGTTCTGTCGTATCATGTCCTAAACTTCTGTTTATAATGGCAGACGTGTGCCATTTAACAAATTGTGGCAATGAGTACAAATGACTCACTGTGCCACAGCTGTAAAATAAAGATTTGTTGCATAGGTCTTCAGATATATGTGTGTGCAGTTGAACACCCGGATTCGCCTCTCGAAGGCAACGTCTTCTGTAGGCATCTTGAACTGACGTTTTGTGATCAACATGGTGACAGTGATAATCACTCGTTTAATCATTCACCTTTGCGGAGGGGCCTGCGTTACATCAACTGGAACCGAAGCCGTGTGGCCGTGAAGTAGGGTAGTGCCACGCTTGGGTTGTGATACAAAAGTGTCGATAGTATCCTGGGTACATTCAAGTATCTGTGTTTCTGTATTGCGATACACTTGAATGATGTGTTTTACCTCAGCGCTGAAATAGTTTTCAGGTGTATAGATAGTATCATGATACTGTAAAAGACACGGGTATTGTTAATTTTGGCGGAATGGAAAATGAGCTTACTTGTTTTAACGTGGAAATGAAAAATCCACGTAGAGGGGCTGGTGAAGGTCAAGAATGAGGCATTGGGTAAAGCACTCGACGCAGTGATGACAGCAAACCCAACATCAACCACTTGCAAAATACATAGAAAGACGGTGACCAAAATTGTAAGTCTGGCGGACCCGTTGCCACTAAGGTCCCACGGTGTGAGTGCTCTCCCAACAAACAATGTATTTCGTTGTGCCGAGCACCAGACCGGAAATATTCATGAACAACCGAGCACCATTCCTCCACCCAATAAAAAAAACTGGCGCGGTCCCGGTTGGCTCAGCGAATCAAACCCAGTACCTCCCGCATTAGAAGCGCACGCTCTAACTATGAAGCTTTCGCTGCAGTGGCTGCATGGATAATGGTGTGCGCGAGAAGTAATTTTTTTGCACCGAATCAAATAGTGATCACACCAACTCGACAATGAATACAATTGAAATGCTATATTGCTATATTAGAATATTGTTAGGACAATTTAAAGCAACCATTTTCAAGGCAGTCCTGAGCTGATAAGTTTACTATTTCAAAACATCAAAGAATTCAGCATACTCATTCGAAACAAGCATTCGCAAGCTTAAACAAAAGTATATCACAGCGACTTCTAAACTACCAAAAAATACCACACATATAATAAATGAGGCACGCTGGTTTACAGCAGCAACTTTCGAAGTGTTTTACAGCGAGATCTGTTATGAGATCAAAACAAGGGTCACGCGTGGTGCCTTTTGCCCGCCGCCACCTCTGATGTCCATAATCAGTATTGAAAGAAATAATAAACAAAAATTAAGCAAATAAAAAGACAACAAGGACACAATGGGATTTGAGCCAGGGCACAATCCGTGTCAGCCCAATATTCTACCACTGAGCCACGCCAGCTCTTTCGAAGAAGATAGTCTTTCCGGAGTACTTCAACGCAAAATTTTTAGTCTCTCTGTTTTTGTGTCTTTCTGCATGTCTGTAAATCTGTGTGTCCATCGTAACGATAGCCCAATTGGCACCAAGCGATACCCTAAACGGCCAACCCCATGCGCAGCGCCCAGCAATAATGCTCAAGTTTCAGCGTTCATATTTGTGCAATTGTCAATTAAAAAGCAATTATTGCGCATATCTGAGGCACCATAACAACACGTCAAAATTTTGTATGTGTGTTTTTATACCAGAGAAGTCATGCATAAGTAATTCTAAGAATTGTAGCGTTTATCACGTTGCGCTGACAATGCAACGTGATGCTCAAAGAGGCAAGTGTTTCCAACGCTTTGCTAAGAAGACACAGTGGTGGCACCTGCCCGTCTTTTTGCGTTCTACACCTTATCGCTTTCAAGACGGGTGCCCACGCTTTCCTTCGGTTACGACGATAACTGTTAAGTAGCGCTCGCGTTTAACGTGCCTCGATGTGCTCGTTCACCTACGCTGCACGGATCGAAACTTGCTAACACAGTGCCTCAAGAATAGAACTCACCAATTTTCGCACGCAGAGCATCAAATAAACGGTTTCTTCCCTCTCTCCAGACGCAATACTATGGTCTTTCGACGACATTTGCACTGAAAGATGCCAATACGTGGTCATTTTTTTCTCTTCAATGCATGAAATTATCATCAGTAATTGTGAACTACGCACAACATACTTCATCAGAATTCAGGCAAACGAACACAAGCGTCCTGAAGGGGAAGCCGCTGCGGAACGGAGTCTAAACTGTCTACAGCACTGCGCAGCAGCAGCTGCTTCTCGGAAGAAGGATCTCGTCGACCGTGGTGGCTCGGCGTGTCTATCAACCATGCGACTTTTTCATAATGAACGAAGTCCCAACAACATCAACAGGCCATATTAAGTATTATCACTCACGCTTTCTTTGAATGGTAGGAACCTTATACCATCAGCTGTGATTGGAAGTTCCGGTGCTTGGAACTCTTATCTAAACTGGCCTTATGTAGACTTGATGTCGGGAAAGAATTCGCGTAATATGAGTAGTATAGCATTTAAGAACATAAGAAAGACAACCAGGAATTACACAATGCGAATTGCGTAAAAGGTGGGTTGTTCAATGCTCCAACAAAGTTGAAAAGTTGACCTCGATGATCTTTCTTGCTTGCTGAATCCTTTGCCGTGGCTCTCACGCACTGAAGGGGATTGGCCAAAAAGCCGGAGGTTATTGTAAATCAATACTTTAAGCTTATCCAGGCTAGGAAAACAGGATTACTTTGTTTTGACTTGGCAGAATTATTTTAGCACAATGTGAAAAAAACGTTAAAGAAAAGAAATAATAGAATTTTTTGAATAACTTAGCTGTAATTGTCATATGAAATTCTTTTGAAAATTAAGTCATTGCAGTGTAATGGTTGAATAATAAATGTTAGATTGGCTAGTAAAAACTGAGAGCTGATCAATGGCTTAGTAAGGTAGTCTTTTTGTGCCACATTGGAATTCGCAGAGGGCCCCGCAGATGTTGTTGTTTAGTTGTTGTTCACCTATTTATCGTGGCGCATACCCACTATGGGGGATCAGCCAAGAATCAAGTGGTTTTGAAAATTACTGACCAGATTTCGAATAATGGATGTATAATAGAAAGATTACCGATAGCCTGGGAAAGTGTGGTGCTTAATGGAATGCATACAATTATTTAAATAAACTAATCTATTCTTAAAATAGAGCAATAATCTATTTTTATACGTATATAATTTTGTAGACATGTTAGGATAATGAAACAGGTTAATTAGTCAACCTATTAGTTTCATCAATATAGTCCCGGACGGCGGCGCATACTGTCGCATTAGAGAACCCATAAATGGAAGCTCCAAAAGACAAAATGACAGGCACAGATAAGTCTATACCAATACCACGTAAAGGTATTTCTAAAAGGGTTTTTCGTAATGTGTTAAACCACCTGCAGGTAAAAAATAAATGATTTATTGTTTCCAGTTCATCACAGAAGGCACACAGTGACGGAGATGTCTGAGCAGACCAGTGTTCATAGAAATTTATAGTTGGTTCCGCAGATGATCTAATAACTGTGGCGCCCACCCACTTTAGGTATAATTCCTCATCGTCATGAACCACTGCATAAAATAATTGCGCGAATTCCTAGCGATGTAGCTGATACCACAGTTCTCTGAAAAATGACGAAGGATAGCATAGTGAATGCTGGCCTACTACACAAAAGTTCTGATTTTTTATGGCGTAGTAGATACCCAGTAAGTATGCTTGTAGCTGTTACCCAAGGAGTGTTCAGAAAAGGCTCTGAAAAGCCGCTGTTGTAGATTTCGTGTAACTGCACTGTGCGTTTCTCGCAGGCCTGGCGTTTTTCCCCCCTTCGGGGTAAGGTATAGCAGTAACTCGAGTATTTGAAACGGGACTTAGTCAACCGCTTCTTAAAAAAAAAAGGAAAGACAGATTCGCTTTAGTGGTGCGCACCCTGAAGAAAGAGCGTAGGTGGGTGACCTGTCTCGTTTCGCTTTTTTTGCTTTATTCATCTTTGTTTTTTTTTTTCGTTCCGTTATTACTTTTGTTTACACCTAAAGCTATTATGAGATCACAACACGGGTCACGAGCACGCTGTAGTTGTTCGCCGCCACCACCGATGTCCGCAACCACTACCGCAAGAAATGAGAGAGAAGTCAGGAAAAAAAAGCACCAAAGACGCAATGGGATTCGAACACGGGTCC